AAAAAAAAAGAAAAAAAAGTTGATTATCAGACAGAACAGCCACTGGAAATAAGTTACCAGAATTCCAAACAGTAAGACCATAAGAAAAATAAGACTATATGAAGAGCTCCTGTTATCCTTATTTACTTAGCAAGGGTGTTGGAAAAGTTGAATTTAAATGACCTATACATGTCTTTGGCATACTAATGCAAAAGCTGTACACACATACTTTGTTGTGTGTTTATTTTTCTGATGTATCCCACATTGTCCCACACAAACACACGCTTGCCCTACTTTTAGTTTGTTGGGAAATTGCCGCCCTAGTTCCTGTGCAACTTCCTTCCAGTTTTTCTCTTCGTTTCCTTCATGACTCATCCTGTTGCAGCAAGTTTGACAGAAACTATATTTTACATTAAATGATCTGTGTTTAAAAAGAAAAGAAAAGAAATGTACAGTGACAGAAAAGCTCAACATAACACTTGATCATTCAGTTAAAATAAGAATTACTGCAGTGATTTTATGCCCTCACACACTGCACTGGAATATAATTAAATCTAAATGAAGCTATTCTTCATCTCACCCCCGTATACCCCACAGATTCCCATAAGGCACATAAGCCATACACAGCACAACTCCTGAGTTGAAAATCTGGCAGTACTGAGTGCTTGAAGTCTGAGCTGCCATAAGGGGGTTGTTGGTGTTACTCCTTAAAACACTAGATGGGAACAATAATTCTCTTCTTTTTTTCTTTCTGCGTGGAATTTCTTTTGCTTTTGCGCTCAAAACATGTGAGACGGATAAAAACGGACTATTGTGAGTGAGAGGTTAATCTTTCATAATCTCATAGTGGTTGTAGCTCTCAAACATATAACTGCATTTTTCATTCGGGTTGCCTACAACATGAAGTGAGACGTGGCCTTTTATGGCAGCTGAATTATTAAGGAAAGTATTTGGGAAAAAACGATTACCCTTTTACATTTATAAATAAATAAATAAACATAAATATAAATAAGGAAATACATACATACATTTATTTTCAAATACTAATGCAACTGCTAAACACTCTATAATTTTCCTTCTTTTAAATCTAAATTTGTTCTTTCAAAGCTTTTATTTTGTAGTAGCAGCTTTATCTCATCTAAAGAGTTCAGTGTACCGGCTCCTTAACTTCTATTTGCATTTAGTTTTTTTTAGAGTGTAGCTGTCGCAAAGAAAATTTCCAGAAACAAGACCTGACCCAAGTGTACCCCGTGCACTTGCAGATGTGACCATATCACTGATGTAATTCTGTTTCTTTTCAAAAGAAAAATTATAATTATGAAAGAGAACCCTATTGAAAAATGCAGTCCCTTAAAACTATGACACTGGTTCGATATTAGTTCCTTGTAAGTCCCAATCCTTCAAACAGCAATTCTTTCTGCCACTCTGTGCTCCTGGAAAATGAAGAAATGATTGCAAAACCAAAACAGGAAGATGGTGATTGTTTGTTTTGTTAGTAGCTATTGAAAGCTTACCATAGATTGGTTGGATTGTAAAACAACTGGAATAAGTGTGGAAATTCTACCTGCAAAGGAAGAGCAGCTCCAATATGGAGTCAATTAAGAAGTTTAAAGCAAGTGTTACATTTTTAGTGTCACTGAGTTGAGCGAGTCCACTTGGGTTTGAGTTAATTTCATCACTAGAGCCTGAAAGTGAAACTCTGCATAGATGTCCATGTACCCATTAATCTTTTGTGACCACACTGACTTTTCTGCAACACTGTACATTACAATGCACCCATTATGCATTCATCCATACCATACCCCTCCAATAGAGCTCTTTGATCCTAGATTACTGGCTGACTTGTACTTCTGAGTTTGTCTAGTAGTAGAATTAAGGCCTGTCTTCTGTTTAACCAGCTCCTAGTTTGGATTCCTACTCTTCCACAAAATGTCTTCTGTCCTGCATCTCTCCCCTCACCCCCTCCCTGCTGGTCACCGCAGATGGCTGTGTCATTGTAAGATCTTTACCTTAAAATATAAAGTGCCTTGAGGTGACTGCTGTTGTGATCTGGTGCTATATAAATAAAATACAGTTTAATTGAATCCTTCTTCCAAACTCCAAGCAGATTTGAACAAGTAATAATGAGACTTACTAACCATCTAAATGTATACAATGCAACAGAGAAGCCCAAGTCCCAGGAGAAAAGATGCTCAAAAGTGAGCTAGTTTTAGTTTTATTAGTAACTAAATCTGCATAACCTAAACGATACAGTGGGTAAATGAACGGACAGGGGGAGGGTGCAAGGCTGCTTTAGCCATTTAAACAGCAGAGAATAAACCATAATGTGTATTTTTTTATTATTATATATACTGTCACATGTCTCATCCATTTACATGGTTTGCCCTTTAAAAACTTCATAGCTTTGGTTAAAATAATAAATTTTAAAAAGCACAACAGAGATTTACAGTGAAAACCTTTATTAAGTGTTAATATTATTTTTTAAGGAACCTCTTCCAATGCTGTAAGTTAATCATCTTTTCCATATTTGCTAATTGGCATCTACAGAATATCTATTTACACAAGAACACACCCACAGGTGAGGCTGGGACAGGCCTTACTAATTCATTATTACTTGAGTTCAATACTCAGGCACACCAGTCACCCCACGTTATACTCCCACCCCCTTTATGTTACCCTGTATGTCCCAACAAAGCAAAGAGACAAAAGGAGTCAAAGAGGGAGAAACAGAAAGAGACCTGGACTAAGACATAGACCCACAGATTTAGATTAACAACAGGACAACTGTGTGTGAGGCTGGCATATTGGTTCACTAGACCAACAAACTATTGCACACACCACATTCACACCAGCACTCACATACCTGCATGCACTCCCTCAAATACCCACTGACCTCCTTACGGTATGCACTCATACAGAACCACACAGTCATACAGTAGCTAGGAGTCCTGCAGCAGTCCTAATAGCCACCATCACAGTGTAGATACACAAACTATAAAATATTAGATTTCTTCTTAAACTGAAGCGCTGTGCAAAGTTAGCTAGCGGGGCATTAAATGGACTTAGTTAAAATACCTATAACATCTTAAATATTTACTGTACATACTTTGTAATACAAGTTGTGTCTGTTTTAGGTGACAATATTCTTATAAAAGAGTCTTAAATATCCTTTTCTCTAGTAAAGTGAGGGGGAACAAGGGGGGGTGGGGGCACATAAGCAAATAAAACTCTCTTTTAAGTGTCAAACCTAAACACAACAGATTTACATAAACCCGATATTATCTGAAAATGAGAAGTTTCTTCTTTTCACAAATAAAACATGATAGGCATTCTGACGGTGACACACACAGCTAAGTGTTAACATACTTTAATACTTGTAATTACAGAATTTTGTTTATTTTTTGTTTGAATGTAAAATCTTGTGTATGAGTTGTAGTCAATGTTCCCTCTAAGCTGCGCGGGTGCGCAATTGCGCACTGCTGGCACGGTCTCTGCGCACAGAAAATCTGCGTTGCACACAGAAAAAAAATCTAACCTGAATGAAATTAAAATGAATACTTTAACAATTCTGTTTTGCCGTGTTAGTCAGTAAGTACTGGCTGCTCCCGTATGGGATTACAACGATGCCACCTTATCCCATAGTCCAGCCAATAATGTGATTCACATTTGTATATACACAGCTAATCAACGTCGCTGACAGGCTATGACAGCGTCCTTATGTGCCGACACCGGTGTTTTAGCTAGCAAAGCGGCATGGCGTCAATGACAACGTGTACAACCATTGGAGATGTGAGCAGGACAAACGGAACAATTGACGGAAAAAGTGTGGACTTTATACCAGTTTTTAAATGGTGTTGATAGGCCACGTAAAACCAGAGTTCTGATAAAAATATCTGCAATGTTTGGTTTTCTTCCTGAATACTATCCTTGTTTATATTTAGTGCAGGAAGAAACGGTAAAAACGGCGTTTTATAAGGAAAACGCTCGAAAGCCCTCTCCACCTGTGAGCAAAGACAAAACCAAAAAAACCCACTCCTTCCTATTGGTGGAAAAATGTACCATGTCAACCAATCAAAAAATGATATGGCAACATGGTATTTAGTTGTTTAGGAAGAGGGAAGTTTTAGGAGTGACGGCGGTGTTTTGAGATGTGAGAGATTTGCGACATTTAGCGCAAATCTTGTGCAGTTAGTGTGTAGTGTAGTCAATAGTTCTGTTGTGTGTGTCAGAACAATGAGGCGACTGCTGAATGTTACAGGTGTTACAGGAGTGATACATCTCCTGTTGTCAGGCCTGCAGCTATCAGGCTGTTGTTCTCCTTTATCTCATAGTGGACAGAAATTATTTGTTGGAGCGGCACAAATGATTTGTGTGGCATCAGATTTGATGCAGAACAGCTGATTGTTCTGTAAATAGTTTGAAATGTTTATTTAAAAAACCGCCCTGGCTACATTTTTGGGTAAACAGCTGCAAAAAATGTTGTTGTTTGCATAACTCTGTTACTTTTTTTAAAGAAGTAACTATATAATTAATTGCCCAACATTGGCCATTATATACTGTATTTTGCAGACAGAGACTTACAGGACTCTCTCCCAGACCACAGACTCATACTCATGATACAAGTCAGAGCTTTATAAAAAAAAAAGAAAAAAAAGAAAGAAAAAAAAAGAAAGTTGTGTTTTCAAAATTGGAGTTCAAGTTATTTTTACTTCCAATAGTGTTAACATGCTACACAGGTCATGAACAAGATTTCTTTTTAATTTTCATTGTAAGTGGATTAAAGCAGTTAATTAAAAGTAGTCTAACATAAATGCTGTAATTTGATTATTTTAATAAACCGTGTAACTTGGATGGATTCAATGCTGCCGTGACCACAGTGCACACATCTGCTGTTGCTCACAGAGGTCCAAGGGACCGCTCAGGGAGTTTGTGCGTTCGCTCAGACACATGAAAAATTAGAGGGAACATTGGTTGTAGTGTGTGTGTGTGTGTGTGTGTGTGTGAGTGTGTGTGTGTTTGTGTTTTGTCTGTGCTCACAATGCAAGTGTACAATGTCAACCCTGTGTCTTTGCAGGTAGGTAGTGGGTAGTCCATATACTTGTCGACAGATTAACAGTCTCTGCCCCTTGCCATGGTCTATGAAATGTTGTGCAAGGCTCGGACACATTAGGATAGAAGTGCTTTGGGCTCCATCTAAATGCTGGGGATGACGTAAGGACTGTGAGCACAACGGTGAGCACAACATCAAAGGTAGGTTACATTGGGTTTTTTTGGCAGGTAGTTGCAAAAGGCAGGCTGGCTGGTTCAACAGAATTCCTTTCCACCACACACTCGGACCGCCTCCCTCCTTTTTAAGCTGATGTTGATCGACTGGTACTTTATGAAAACAGACACGTGGATCTTCGGGAACCTGCAACAAAGGAAGTGAAAGACAAAGTGTATTTTGCAAGCTATTCCAATTTTTACAATTGTTATTCAAGAGTTATGCTTACACATACGTACACCATGACCTTGTTAAGATGAATAATTCTGGATGGGGAAAAAGCATTTTATCTATACTTCATTGCCTTGCAGAGCAAATGTGTGCAAATTATGCTTAATCAGCAGTGTTGCTCATTTGTCTTTGTTCTGTTTTGCATGGCTGCATGTAGAGTATTGTGAAAATAATCACTGAGCTGTTTGTTGCTTTTAATTGTTACTCTGCATGCTTTGTGAACTGTTGCTTGCATGCTTCTTTTTAATCCTTTCAGTAAGGTATTACTCATTTTTGAATAGCTTAAACACTGTACATCGGTAGGACTTTATAGAATTTTATAAATGCAAACCACTGACGTGCTGCAGCTGCACTGATTCACTGATTTTTTTACATTCATAATTGCAGTGGTTGTATTTATGCATAAAGCATGGTTCATTTGACACGTCCTGACACATTAGAGCCATTTATGTCAGTTAATTTCTCAGTTCGCTGTCCATGTTTTTGCTATATATTGCCTGCACGTGCATCTTTGTCTTAAGACATTAAAATGTTTTTTTGAGTACATTTGTACGGTACTGGGGTTCTTTTTGGTAAATGGACTGGTTCTTATATAGCGCTTTTCTACTCTTCTGAGCACTCAAAGCGCTTTACACAACTTGTGCATTCACCCACTCACACCCATTCGCACAAGCACATTGTTCTAAGTGCTTTCTAAGTAACGTTCACACACATTCATACTCCGATGGATGCATCGGCGAGCAATTCGGGGTTAACATCTTGCCCAAGGATATTTGGCATGCAGACTAGGGGAAGCCAGGAATCGAACCACCAACCAGCTTAGATGTGCAGTTCATGACAGAGGGACCAACAAAGCCACACTGGCTGACTTAAAAACAAATGTTGGTTGAAGGATGGGATGCCATGTAGCTCAGGCGGTAGAGCAGGTCATCTACTGATCGGAAGGTTGGTGGTTCAATTCCTGGCTTCCCCTAGTCTGCATGCCAAATATCCTTGGGCAAGATACTAACCCCAAATTGCTCTCCGATGCATCCATTGGAGTGTGAGTGTGTGTGAATGTTACCTAGAAAACACATAGAAAAATGTGCTTGTGTGAATGGGTGAATGCACAAGTTGTGTAAAGCGCTTTGAGTGCTCAGAAGAGTAGAAAAGCGCTATATAAGAACCAGTCCATTTACCATCTTAGCATGAGGAGGAGGTGCCAGGCTGTTGTGGCTGTGTACAGTTCTTCCACATGCTACTGAGGCAGCTGTGTGGTAATTGAATACAATTGTTAGGTTACCAATGTCTCTTGTTTCCTCAGACTTAAATCGCCCTAACCATATGTCACACCATTTAAGGGGGAATAAATAGATTTCCAATGGTAGTTTTATTGCCAAGAAGCATTGTTATATCAATGATTTGTCAGCAGCAGCTGTGTTGCAAACTATTTTATGTGTTTAACCTCTTCATATATTACAGTTTTATCTTTTTGTGTGACATTCTTAGTTGATTAGATCAAGGGTATTGAACTCCAGGCCTCAAGGGCCGGTGTCCTGCAGGTTTTAGATCTCACCCTGGATCAACACACCTGAATCAAATGATTAGTTCATTACCAGGCCTCTGGAGAACTTCAAGACATGTTGAGGAGGTAATTTAGCGATTTAAATCAGCTGTGTTGGATCAAGGACACCCTAGAACCTGCTGGACACTGGCCCTCGAAGCCTGGAGTCCGACACCCCTGGATTAGATGTTGCCAGTGTCACCTCTTTCATGTGAATGTGCAGGAGAAACTTTTGGTTAACTGGGCTAACGTTATCAGGGTGATAATCAGCTTGAAAACAGAACAATGAGCACTTATCCTGATTGCCACTGTTAGGCTAAGTGAATCCAGATAACAGAAAGATATCCTGGGTATGCTGAACTCACTTTGTGCTAGAGGACCCAGGACACAGCATAAGAAACAAAAAGCAAGCTGTACTGCAACTCTCCTGAGAGTTCATGAGAAAGCACCACCAGGTAAATAAACAAAAAAATATCTTCAAACCTAACTAAATACAAACAAACCCACAAGCGACACAGAAGGAATAAACAACACACAATCCAACAAAGGCCACAGAGAAGACAGGAATAGTTAAACACAAACATCTGATTACTGATGGGAAACAGTAGGAAGGAAAATGCACTTAACAACAGGTAAAAATAACCAGGGAATCAAGGGAGGCAGTGAGGGAATGAAACTGATGCAGGAAATGAAAGAAAGCAAACCTTCAAAGTAAAATGGGAAACAACCAGCAGAGATGAATACCAATCTGAATACAAACACTTTACAACAAGTACGGGGACAGGGAAACACAAAGGGACTGACGCATGAACACCGAACGGGACACGTGGGATCAGATAAGGACACACTGAGGCAACCAAAACACAGAAAATATAGCAACCTCAAATAGGAACCTACTGATGCTTCTAGCCAAGAAACATTTATAACCCAAGATCTTTCCATTGATTTGAAATATCGTGTTATTGTACTTTAAATTAACAATCCATTAAGGAGTGAAATGTAAATTACTTTTTTCATTTACACTGGATTTACACCTCTATGGTGCCTAAGGACACATATAATATTTCAAACATTAAAGCACAATCAGTTCATTTAGGAGGCTTGTGTAATATAACAGTTAAAGATGTATGTTTGTGCTTACTCACCTAATGATTTGATTAGGCATTCCCTCCATCTGAAAAAACAAACAAACAAAAAAACAAAACAGAGAAAAATGTAAAACACTTCTAAAAAATATATGAAAGCATGTCCAACCAATGCCACGCATATGATTTGATGCATTGCACACAGACACCAGTAGATGGCACCAGGGATGAGAGAACTGGTTAAAGATTTTTGAGCTATAATGAAAAGATTCTCCCACGCCCTGAAGTAAGAGAGAAGTAAGTGGTGCATTATCATCATCAGAGTATTATTGGTGTGGTAAAGCTAATGATAATGATAATGCCAAGTTTTCATTTCTATGATTTTGTCTATAAATCTTTTATAATTTATTTTTACCTTTAACTGTAACTCAAAGGTCACCAGAGTTTAGGACAAGATAAAATAAACTGCAGATCTGAATTATTTATTATGATTGCTGTTTTTATTATTACCAGCTGCATTCACAGGCCATCAAACAACAGTTTTCCCCAATCCCTTCTGCTGATTAACAAGTCTTTTCTTTTACTAGTTCATGTCCATCCTTCCTCCTCACCTCTCTTTAACAGTTTGCCCATGGCTGTCTGGTTCCATTACAGACTACAGGGCATGGACATGCAAATCGCATTTCCCACTGGGAGACATTCCTTTACCCAGGCCTTTCCACAGTACCTCACTGTGTCGAGCTGTGATCGTGATGCAGAATTACATACAGTATGCATGCATGCTTACCAGTACAAGACAGGCCTTTTCTACATGTTTCGTAAGAAAGTGAGGTTATATTTTGATAAGAAGTTTGCCAGATACTCACACAGTCACAAAACTGTTGGAGACGCAGCAGAAATGTGACTTGCAAGTTTGACTAATTTGGAAATATATCTGACTGTATCCTCACACATGTTCAGAAGCTCAAAGCTCCTGTTATAATATCCCCAAAACAATAATAGAGATCAGTTTAAAATAATTCATTTACCTTGACAAATAGGTGCAAAACAAACTAGCAAAAGAGATTACAATGGCATTCTCTTGCAGAAGAGACAGTGTTCATAACTGTAATCAAAAGAGAACAAGAATCATTTTTTTAGCTGCCTAACTCGCAGGGATGTGGTGGGGAAAAAGCTTATTAAGGGGTTAAAACGGGTGCTCATTAATGGTTGTAATTATCCGAAAGAAGGCTTATGCCAGTCCCTTCGTTATATTCAAAGTGTGCATCTGACGCTTTCTAAATTTAGCTTTGCTTTTAAAAAGGCTGCATCAAAAGCTCATTACTTCAAAACTTTCACTGGGCGTGAACGCAAGAGTGCACTGACTGTAATCCTTTCATGGATTTAGTTCATCTCATCTCTTTTCAAGCCTTGTTTATATTTTGTCACCTTGTTAATGAATGTGCATTTTCTATTTTCAGTCTGGTGAAAGTCACTTGGGCTGTGATGAATCGTGAGCCGACTCTTGAAGCAAGCTTTAAAACGTTCTTGCTCTGTGTGTGTGTGCATTTGGCAGTCCCCACCAACACAAACTGCATTAAGATGCACTTTCAGAGCAATTTATATGGCACCGCTCTGCCAAAAAAACAACAACGAGAAAGAAAAACTGATTACTTCTCAATTAATGATAAAAATGTTAAAATATTTGGAAATTTAGTGGGATCAGTGCCTAGTTCTAGAAATATTTACTGTAAGTTTAAATACATTTTTCAGAAAGGAAAAATGAGCTTCAGTTATTTGATGCGTCATGGATGAGGAAACTTCTCCAACTATGATGGGTTTAATAACTTTTTTCACATCAGCTTTTATGAGTAAGATGTTGCTTTAAGTTTTCAAAGGAAGTCAGTCATGTCTTATTCTCACCCTTGCTTTCAGCCAGCAGCTCCTCTGTCATGAGGCCGTCCTGCCGGTTCCCCAGGACGAAAGCCAAGAAGGAGAGGATGAGGGCGTCCAGGATGCCCATGATAGCCAAGATATAAGCCCAGCGAACGGAGCACGCGCCCAGGCTGTACTTGTCAGTCTGCTCTCCGCACATCCGCCGGACCTCGTCGCTGTCCCATCCATCAGGATAGATCATACAACCCAGCACCAGACAGACACCTAGTTGGAGGCAGAGATGGGCAACGTGAATTAAACGAAGAAAAATAAGGACAAGCCAAGAATACATATGAGCATAAAGGAGGAGAATATAAGGGTGGGAATAATGGTGTTTAATAGCAGTAACAGATTTAAAGTGTTTTGACTACTCAAAACATTATGGATTTCCCAGCATCCTCAACCTTTTACATTGGTGATAATATTAGATTTATTGCTCATAATTCTCTGTTTTGGCCCAAAGTGTTTAACTTAATTTAACCTAACAGATTCTTCTCTACGGTAATGTTGCATCAGAAAAGCACAAGAAAATGAGGAGCCCGTCTAATTCTTTCTCACTTATTGCCCAAAGGGTAAAATTTCTCTCATCTTCACTTTGAATGAGGTCCTCCTCTGAGGTGGTGCTGCAGCAGAGCAGCAGTAGACCTGGAAAAAAAAAAGCTGACTGCACAATTATCCACAGCGCATTGCACATTAATAATAAAACAGACTCCCCACTTCTTTATTCCCTGAACACCTAGTTGCTTTCAATGTTTTGCCCCTGAATGCTGTTTGTTTGTGTATTAGGTTCGGGGGTTTTGAGCGTTTTTCTAGTTTATTACCCATGAACTTTCAAACACTTACCTGCAATATGTGTGTGCCACTGTTAGGTTTAGTATGGTATTACAAAATAGGGTGATCTTTTCTTTGTTACACTACAGGTAACAAAGAGCATTAAAATTTGTTTGATTCACAACACGAAGAGTTGTGTTCAGCAGCAAATATCTCCGAGAGGTAGTTTGATGCTGATGGTGTAAAAGAAAAGAACTACAGCTGCCTCTGAGTTTCATTGGCTTGAATTTAAGACTCTTAGACTCACATTTTCTTAGTTGATTGATTCCTGTGGCCATTTTGGAAAATTCTTATCTTAATATTTTCCCCCTTAAAAAGAAAACACAAAAAAATATATCACCAAATCTGGGGTATATGACAGTTTGCTTTAACTCTTAAATGTTCACACTTTGATTGGTTTGTTGTTTAACTGACTGATGTTGCCTTCTCGCAGAAAAGATAATAATAGTTTGTAATAATAGTTAATAATAGTTTGGTTGTGATTAGTATAAAAGACTTAAGTAGTTACTGTGAAAGAGATGAGCATTTCTTACTTGGCTGTGAAAAACCAGATGTGAAACGGAATGGCAGTTCTGACTGGTAAACTGGACACTGATTGGCGATTCACAAACCATTAGCCAATGAGCGTGCAGTTTTGTACCCCAGATCCACAAATACTCCCATTTGAAATATTTATTTCCTAACTAACTTCATTAAATAACGTTATTTTTCTAAACCAAAGCTACATCTATGTTTTTGTAACATCTGTGCTTATGTCAGATCTGTTTCCCGTATGCACAGCCTGTGCATAGCAGCTAACAGTCACTCGCACAGCCACACACTAGCATGTCGTTAGCAAGGAAGGTTGTCACTGTAAGCGAAGACACACCAGTTCACCAAAGTGCACTAAACCTAGTCAAACACCTAATGAAAGCACCCTTAACCAGCCAAGTTTAGCATTTTAAAGACGCTAACTAAGGGAAAGTGGCTAAAGCTAAATAATTCAGAGTCAGTCAGAAGCTAGCAGCCTTGTTATGAGCAAAGGATCAAAAACGTTATAAGGAAAATTATGGAGAGGTATAAAGCAGAAAATAAAGGTGGGTGTCTGTTATCTGATGGGGTTATAAACATACTGGAGAATAATGCAAGCAGGTCACATCTGTTTTGTTGCATTAATCTGTTGCACCTGCTTTTGTTTGGTAAGGTAAAATATGCTAGGTGCAGCGAGTGTACAGCAGCTTATTTTCCATTAATTATTTGTACCGCTTTCTGACTGCAGAGCACTTTATTTTCAATTGTACTTAAGTGAAAACAGATCATGTAAACTAGTGTAGTTTTGAGGGAAATGGTTAATCATTTATGTTACTATGAACCTTCTTGTTTATTTAATTTTACTTATTTTATAGTGAAGAAAAGTTGATTTTTGTTTGTGTACACAGTCAGCTATAGTTTTTTAGAAAGAAAATCAGTGAACTCTTACCAACTGTGCTTCTCCTAGCAGCGGGTGTGTTGTGTACGTCATTCATCGAACAGAGGGAGTACCAGAGAAGGCCATTTTCGATATTCACCCAGTCAATACGCATTACTATTCTTTGTCTCCTTTTTGATGTATTTGCTACAAAGGTAGCAAGCACTTTTCTCGATCTTTCTGGCTGTCTCCTGTGTCGCTTTGGCTCAGTTCAACACGATCATGAATATTAGATTGAACCACAGGAGGATCCCTCTTAATAGTTTTGTTGCCAGTAAGATGGAATAGGAGACAAATACTGAACGTGTGATGGGAAGAAGGACAAAAGATAACACTCACAGTAAAATATGTCTCAGTCACTACTGAACTCTATTTACTACAAAGTCTGCCTCTGCTGATAATCATCTCAGAGGGATGCACTGGACAGGATTATACCAACAGAGGGTGCCACATATGTCACTCTTGTTTCCAGAAACAGCTTGTGGTTAGAGGAGGAGCACATGTTCCCTTCATGCACTGTAACAGAATGCCTGCTATGAACTAATCCATAATCACACAACACTACAGAGAAGCCCCATCCAGCACAGCACTGCTTACATAATGAGACCTTTTCTGTGAATTTGGATTCCCATAAAGGTTACCATCAAGCAGTCTACACCCATATCATAATAACACCAAAATAAGCAAGAGCGTTGACTTCTTTCAGTTAAGAGGCCTTTTTAATAATAATAAAAAAAAAGATTATATGATTTACGAATGCTCTACAAGACGTGGGAATTCTGTTAGTGGATCAATTATTAATCGGAAGTAATATGTAAATAATACATGTAATGGTGCTTTAGCTGTAATTATGGGCTCTAGAGAGTGACAGTGGATTCATTAACACAGGAATTTTAGAAAAGAGAAAAAAATTATGACATGGTTAAACTTTTTATCTACACTGACAGGCCAAATTCCACCAAACAACTTGCCAAACGTGACAACATGTCAGTACATTAAGTGATATAAATTCTAGTTGCTTAAATTAATCAGGACTGGTTTTTCTTTTTTACCCCCATGCTTAGAAAAACTGTTGGTTAGCACTTGTGTCTTACAGCAAGATGGTCCTCGGTTTGAATCCACCATTTCACATAAGATCAGGTTAACTGGCGATTGCAAATTTGAATACGGTACCCTGCCACTCGCCCTATGCCAGTTGGGATGGGGTTCAACCCTCGAGTAACCCTGAACTGGCGAAATAGAATGAAAGGACAGACAAAAAATGTTGGAGTAATGGAAGGTTTTGGCTTTCCCCAAAGGGACAGCACCAGGATTGTTTTTCCATATACATTTTCCATATGTAAGTTACGCCCCCAACTCTCAAAAAGAAAAAAAAAAGTTGTATATAAACCACATGAAATAAATGAAAACCTGATTGATTGTTTGTTTTCAATGTTTTATCTGATCTGTTTTATGTGATGCTAATTGGGTGTTGAGTGTTTGGTTTGTGGACTGTTAATGGGACAAACCAGTAAAAACACATCACCTTAAAAACTGTGTCTGCAATTTGTAGCCATGCACTCGAAGTTCATAAATGGTTAATAAATTCATTAAAAACAGAGTTGGCTTGCGGATATATTAAAGTGGGTTAAAAATAAATTTGCTGAATGCTCATAAACTGCCCATGAATGATAAATAGGCTCTCATAAAGTTAAAAAAAAAAAAGAGAGACAAAAACCATCTCATTATCTCTGTGAATCTGCTGGCTGCACCCGCTTGCACTGCACTGAAGCAGAACTTCATGCTGCAGTAATAAATGGTGTGCTCCGGCTCCTCGCCACAGAAATAGCAGCACACCTAACAGAATGCAGCTGTCAGTCGGAGCGGAGACGAGACATTAACTGACGGGCATTATCCTCCCTTTTGGCTTTTTTTCCTTGTCTCCATCTCGTTCCAGAGCGGCAGACAGGCGCAGAGAAAGGGAGAGACGGATGATGAGGCAGGGCGAGGCAGAGGCACGCAGAGATATATAGGGAGAGGATGGAGGAGGGGACGTGGTGAGAGACTGAACCCTTGCCATGTTCCACTCCTGTGTGTAGCCGCCAGCAAGTACCAAGCACCACTCCAACGTCATGAGCGCTGGCTACCATATGCTGGAGCCCCTCGACAAGCAGAGCTATTCTCAGCATTTGCTTGTTTTTGTTTGGAGGTGTTTTTTTTTTTCTTTTTTGCAGGTTCCACATAAGCACACGCCTTCCTCTGTTTGTCTTCTCCTTTTGGGGAAAATTGGGATCAGGCAAGTGTAAAACTGGACTGTGAAATGCTTGTTGGCTAACAGCAACTTACGTAAGAGACTGTAGGTAGGGCAGATTAGGTGCAAACAGCACTACAGTAGAGTTTGAGAGCAGACCGACAGATGGTACAGAGCCGTGTGATGGCAGCAGATTCGTCAGAAGCACATTGGCTCATTTTTCCCAAAGAGACAAGTAAATCCCATCGATACGGAAAGACCTTTGATTTATACTTTTCCCTTTTCATAATCTCCGCATGTCATTTAAGAGTCAAGGTGAGCAGAGGTCTGAGCAGAGGTGTGACCACCAATGCGGCAGCTTCATTGGATTTGTGCATCTGGTTCGAGAACAAAGAAAAACAAACCTGTAATCTGTTTTGCTGTAACGCTGTCAATGCGGCTGCATGTCTGACTGCATCATTTCACTGTTACGGCATGTCATTGATTGACCTGGAACTAAACAGTTGTGTGTATTCCCGACTCCCTCCATCACTCAAACGCCTGCGACATATCTAAGCCATGAAAAGGGATTGACAATTTTCAGCTCCCACAGTCCTTTGTGGAATGTGTTTTCTCCTCTCCTCATTTAAACAGCTGCGACAAACTTAATTATGCATGCACGCATAGTAAACTGTGCTATCTGACGCTGCATGTGCATATGACCCTCGCACATAATCG